TCTTCTTCTTCTTCTTCTTTTTTTTTTTTTTTAAATTTTTAACCTGATAAGGGGTGGTGGAGGGGGGAGATGGCAAAGAACCCCAAGTGGTCCAGCCTTGGGGGAGATGGACGTCCCGCCGGATGCCTGCTGTGCAGATGTCTTCACTGGGTTTACACTTGCTGTGTCTTCAACACTAGGTCTGAGTGTAAGGTGTGTGTGTGTGTGTGTGTGTGTGTGAGCGTGTGTGTGTGTCCATCCACGTCTGTTTGTCTCGATGGCTGCTGTGGATCAGGCCTCGGGGACCCCGGAGGGGAGCAGGCTTTTAGTGGCTGAGCAGAGCAAGTGAGGGGTTCCTTCTCTCTCTTCTCCAAGCCCCCTGCACCCAGGCCAGGCCCTCTAGCTGTCCCCCTCCGACTGGCCGCCTCCGCAGCCTTGTGAGGAACAGGGCCGAGAGCCCCAGCCAGGTGTGCGGCTGTCCCTCCCAAGAGCAAGTGAGAGGCACACCTGCTGTTTCCTTGGGGGATTCTGTGCAGGGGGTCTGGGCTGTGGTCCGCCTGTTGCCTGCTCCCAAAAGGGAAGGAGAAGGAAGTTTCCCGGGCGAGGCCAAGGCCTTGAGTTGGCTTCTCTCCATGTCCTGCTTCCAGGGGTCCACCAGGCCCTGGTGGACCATGAAGGGTCCTGTGCAGCCCTGCAGGGGGGCCTCCTGCCCCGACCAGGCACTGCTCCCCAGGACCCAGGACAAGACTGCCTGCTTGGGAGCCCCCGGGCTCATCCTGCCTGTGCCAAGGATTTGGGCCGCGACTTTGGACAGATCACCCCGGGAGTTGCCGGGCCTCTGTGTCCTTATGTCTGATGAGCGTTTGAGCCCAGAGAACTCGGAAGGGCAGGCATGAGGCCCCAGCCCGCGACGGGGCACCTGCTTCTCTGAGAAGTCAGCCTGATGCACCTCCCCTTGGCCTAAAGGTGTTCGGGGGGAAGCTGCCTGTATGCCTCACGTCTTTTCACACCCGCCCAGCGGGCCTGCCCACCCTCCCGCGCTCACTGTAAGCCCTAAGCGCTACGCCAGCCGAGTGTGAAGGGAGCTGCAGCCCCAGAGGGTAGGAAACTGGTACCCCCTCCTCCATGAGCCTCAGCCCGGCGCCCGATGGCAGCAGATCCCGTGGGCCGCTTGGTTCCCAAGGTGCAGCGGGCAGGCCACCCGCCCCTCCACAGAGAAAGCGGCTGGCCAGGGGCTTTGTCAGCCTGGATCAGGGTGAACCTGGGTGAGATGCATAGGACCCTCTGAGCATGATCTCGTGTCTTCAGATATCCCTTCACTTTGAGCAAGTCGGAAAGCCTCTGGGCTGTCCTGCATGGTCTGGTGAGGATGCTTCCAGAGAGGCTGTTGGCCTGGGCATTTGGGGGTACCTTCAGGCCTGGCTCAGCAGGGGTGTGGGGGTCACCCACCTTCAGGAAAGGAAGGGCTGGGTGGTGGCCGCCACCGAGCCGGGGCTGGGCCTAGGGGGAGAGCTGGTGCCATCAGAGCGCCCGGCTGGCTTGGAACCCGAGGGCCCACCAACTAACTGCGTTTACACGACTTGAGTGTTGAACCCCGATTATAATGTCTGTACGGCGCCTTTCCTAGCCCAACCCTGAGCCCCGGGGAAGCAGGAAAGCGCGACTGGCCTCTTGCACTGCTTTGTCTCCAAAATAAACTACTGAAATGAAACTGCATTTCACATGTGTTTACAGATGTTGCTGAAAGTTTATGCCGTTCTCCTGGCCTGTTCTTGAAATTCCAGTCCCTATCTGCCTCAAGAACAGGTGGGGGGTGGTGCAGTGTGACCCCCGATGCCAGGTTGGGCCCCCTGGCCAGGTCGTGTTCCTGTGTAACTTAGGTGTACCCCCGCCCCCACCCCAGGGTCATACACACTCAGGTCCAGGGCCCACAGATCCAGTAACCGTTACCCACTGGCCTCGATGCCCGCGGCAAGCAGGGTGACCGCTGCTTCTGGCGGCGGAAACTGAGGGGTGGGGTTCCCCTTCATAAAGACCTGGGAGCAGCAGGTGGCGGCAGAGGGAAGGCCCCCTGTGAGAGCAAGCGGGCTGCCCCTGCCTGGGCTGGTGACCACCATCCAGCAAGCACCGTCTCTGATCAAGGGTTTCAGGATCAGAGACGAGGGGAGGGGCTGTCGGTGGGGAGGAGTGTCAGGTGGGTGCACTGATGGTTTTGGGTCCTGGGACGCTCTCCATAGAGTTCATTGCCCCTCAGGCCTGGCAGTATCTGCATCAGGGAAGGAGCCACTGACATGCACCTGGCCTTGGCAGCCTCTTCCCCGGAGGCTTGCTGGTGCTGCCCCCGGGTCAGGGCCGCTGGGAGTGGTCTGCTGTGGTGTGCGTGCGTATCACTTGGAGCCCGCCCCGCCAGAACCCCAAGGGCAGTCATTGCCAAGCATCGGGGTGGTGCCGGGGCGGGGGGGGAGGGCGTGGTGGGGGGGTCTCAGTGGCCGGGGCTGCTGGAGGCACTCCTGATGTCAGCGGCTCCGGAGCAACTGCCAGGGCCGAATTTTGGCTGAGGCCCTGGGTAGTTCCAGAGGGTCACGTGCAAGGTCTCTGCCCTGGGCGACCTGGAGCCGAGGTCTGGGGTTAAGTTCTGCTTACAGGTGCTTTGATTCTAAAATGATGTGACTCCACAGACATCAGGCCCCAACTGAGGGCCGGCTCTTGGTATCTAACCTCTTCCCAAGGGCCCCGTGGAGTCTCCGGTGTGGCGTCCTTACATTCACGGAGGGGCCTGGTGGGTGTGCCAGGCCGGAACCGCTCTTCGTAACATGGAGGTGGACACAGCTGGAACCCTGGGCAGTCCCACGGTGCAGCCTCTCAGTGGGCCTCAGTCAATGCTGGAGAGAACAGCTGTGAAAAGGAGTTCCTCCCTACCCAGAATCCTGCCCGTGGGCCTCGTGGAAGGTGGAAGGCCCACAGCCAGAAACGAGCTTTCCAGCCAGCGAGGATACCCAGCAGTTGCCTGCCATGTGGCCACTCTGAGACCAAAGGAGACCATGTCCTCATCCTATTCTGGAAGCTTGTCGGCTTGGGCACTCACACTGGCCATCGGCCATGCAGCAGAAGAATGGCTTCACATGCGTCCCTGGGGTCTGCATCGGCTTTTCCTCTGTGCTCTAGAAAGTGATCATTCGCCCGGCGGGGTCCCCGACAGCCCCTCACCCTCCATAGGCCTGGCCCGGAGCTGCAGAGACCTGGAGCTGCGCACTGGCTGTCCTGAAGGCCACGGGAGCTGATCCGTGACGAAGTTTCCGGGCTGCTCCCTCCCTCAGCCAGCCTGGCCCTGCCCTGCTCCGCCCTGCCCGAGCCCCAGCCTGACGTGATGTGGCTGACACTCCAGACCCGTGATGCTCTCGCAGGTCCTGCCTTCCACGAGGAAGGGCCTGTGCCTCTGCCCCTTGTTGCTACGCAGCATGGCCAGTGTGATCTCGGAGCGACACCCCCAGCCTCCAATACAGACCGTTCGCAGGACCATTAGGGTGGTCGGACCTGGGCACTCCTACTCCTGGTTCTGACCACCGGCCCCGCCCAGCCCACCTGGAGCCTTTTCCAGAAATGCTTGCGTTTCTCCTTTACTTCCAGACTGATGATGACTGGTGGCTTGGAGGGGCTGTCCCTTCCCCACAGCCTGGCTGACCTCTTCCTCCAGGGCTGTCTGTGGGGTCATCTGTTTTCTCTCAAAACTCTTCTCCCATAGTGACTTCACCCCAAATCTGGCGGTTCCAGCTGTAGGGACACCTGTGCTCTGTGACCAGCCCTAATGCCCTGATCCTGTTCCCACAAGCAACAAGCAACATTGACCGGAACCCCAAGCTGCCTTGTGCTTGATTGTGTACAGACATACACTGTTTCTGTGCATAGACAGACTGTACATAAGATTGTTGCTTCTGGAAAAGCCAGGAAACGTCCTCCGGCTCTTTTGATGAGGCTCTGTGTTCTGTGTGAAAAAAATTTTTTTTTTTAAATTTGTCAGAGAGAGAGACAGCACAAGCAGGGGGAGAGTTTGGCAGAGGGAGAGGGAGAAGTGGGCTCCCCACTGAGCAGGGAGCCTGATGTCGGATTTGATCCCAGGACCCTGGGATCATGACCTGAGCCAAAGGCAGACACTCAACCGACTGAGCCACCCAGGCGCCCCTGTGTCCCACGTGATGACAACACAGGTGGCCATCTTTGGGATGGGTTATTTCAGGGACAAGGCGACCCCGTGTTCTCTTTAATGGGTTGTGGTAGCAGATGTTTTGGTATCTGACCGCCTCGTGGAATAGTGTGGTGTTGCGTGTGTTATTTCTCGAACTGTCGTGGGTAGAGTGCACCCTTGAAACGTGTGAAGAAATAAACAGCTTAGAGCTCCAGCCTCGGAGGGTGTCCATCTCTGCCTTGGGACGGTTGGTGGCAGCAGTGGGCAGCCCCTCACCGGCCTCACAGGCGAGGCCTAGACCTGCCAGGACCCTTTATTCAAAGACCTTGTTTCATCATCGTCGTGGTTTTATGGTCCAGGCTGCCCGGGCCCTTGGAATCCTCATCACCATCTGAAGAGGAAATTATACATATTCTCCCCATTTTACAGCCAAAGAAACTGATGTCCAGAGGTGCAAAGTCACTTGCCCAGAGTCCCATGGCTAAAAAGTAGCCCAGAAAGGAGTTGCTCCAGCGGAAGTAAACCTCTACTTGTCCCTTTGCCCAAATCCACCCCCCACCCCTGAGTCAAGGGGGGAAACATCCACAGAAACCAGAAAGCCCAGAGCAGATTTATTTTTCCTCAGATAAATTTTGTACAGAATATATTACAGTTAGGAGGTCTCAGCTTTCACCAAAAGGTCAGAAGTTATTGCAGTTGTGCCCAATGGCTCTGACGGTGGAAAGGAAACTTCTAGAAAGCTGCCTGTGTCCAGAGAGAAAAGATCACCGTTTAAAGTCGTGGCGGGGGCGTGGTGGGGTGGGGAGGGTGTCTGCCCTGCAGAGGGCGTACTGGGGCGGGAGTCAAGAGCAGGAGGAAAGGAGTGAGGGGGGCAATGGGGGAGCCTGGGCTTGGGCAGGCTGGGAGCAGCCTCTCTACCAGAAGCAGCACCCGGGCCGTCTGGCCAGGACCTGCAAAGGGGACAACAGAGCCGGGACCACTGGCTGCCTTGGGGCCCTGGCTGGGCCGGGGGTGGCGGGTGGGGTGTCAGCCCCGCCGCAGCGCCTGCAGCTGGTGGGCCACCTTCTCCAGCTCCGCCTCGATGGCTGCCAGGCTCTCCAGCTCCTGGTCCTAGGAGAGAACACCACGGCTCTGGCAAGGGCTGGGCCAGCTGGTGGGCGGCGCAGTCTGCCAGATGGGCTGTGCCGCTGGCCAGCTGTGTGACCTCAGACAGGCAGCTTTGCCTCTCCGAGCCTTAGGGCCTTCATTCATACCATGGGGATGGGGGATGCTGCCCTGCTGGGATTACTGAGGGTTACTGTGCACAAGAAATGGAGAGGGAACAGGGGCCCTGACCCCACACAGCCCCTGGTGGCTTCAGATCCAGACCCGCCTCTTCCTGAATGGCTCTGGGCAGACATGGAAAATGAGGCCTCCTTGCCCTCCAGTGCTCCTCCCAGGCCCCTCACCCCAAGGCCCAGACTGACAGTGACCCCAAGGGCAAGGCCAGGCTTCCCTGATGGTCCGTGGGCCTTTGGCACAGGCTCGAGGGGATGAGAGCTGTCCTCCTCTACCTGCTGAGGGTGGGCCTGGATCTTTGGTCCCCATCATGGAGGCCCCCAGCTCTGGCTGCCAGGGTGGTTCAGGGCAGAGGACACTTCTGGGAGCCCTGCTCTGTGCCCCAGCCTCAGGAAGATTCCAGGACCCCCTGAACCCGTACTGATGCCCACAAGCCCATGCCTCGGGACTCGGAGCAGGAGTCTAGGAAGGCCGTGCCCCCACACCCAGTCTTGACCTGCTGGGTGCCAGGCTGTTGAGGACAGCCACTGGGGCCGCTTGGAACAGATGGACAGTGGTTGTCATGGCAATAGGGACCCTGGAGCCTTCTGTCTTGGAGTAGCATGATTTTGGTGATTCTGGAGCATTTGTTAGAAGACCCTTGGGCAATGTGGAGGGGACACTGCCCTTGTCCTGTCCACATGGCCCTGCGGTCCCCATTTCCCCGCCCTGCAGTCCAAGCTCCCTCTGCCTGTGGAGAAGACAGGCTGGCAGGCACCTCACGGCACCCTGCTCTCTCCAGCTTCTGTGAGTGAGGAAGGGGGTGGTCAGAGGTGCCCTCACTTGTCCTGGTCCAGAGCTAGGGGTGGAGGGCAGTCTCCCGGGGACATTGACAGATGACCTCTCCTAGCTCCAGCTGCCCAGGGATGTTCCTCTCAGGCTGTCAAGAACCTGGTCCCCACAGAGAGAGAGGGTTGGCGCCCCGGGAAGGGACCGCACCCTAATCTGGAGGGGCAGCGAGCACTGGGGCCATGGAGAGGTCCCAGCCCCCGTGGGGCCCTGATTCCTACCTGGGCACTGAGCCTGGACCACAGACCCCTCAGGCCTCCTCCAGCTCTGAGCTGGCGTTGCCAGTCTGCTACAGACCCCAGCTCCCATCTCCTCACCTCCGGGGCTATGTCCCAGCACCCCAGTGAACTAACCAAGGATCCCTGGACACGGCCAGGTTTTGAAAGCTCATGTGTGTTCTGACCATAATAATGAAGTAAGCAGAAAGGATTCCTTACCCCCATTTCTCAAATGGGGGAACCAGAGGCTCAGTGAAGGACAGCAACCCACCCAAGGCCACACAGCTAGGAAGAGACAGAACCCCGGGCCTTCTGGAGCATCCGTGCCCCCTCCCCCTCTCACCACCAGGTGCTGAGGTCCCACTGGCCCTGGTGCTGCCCCAGGGGACAGAGGCAGGGTCTGAACCTAGGAAGGGGGTGTGCCTGGGCTGCCTGGAGGCCAGGAGAGGATGTTGCTGGATCAGCCCACCCTCAGGAGCTTCCCAGGATGCCACATGTTCTTTCACGACCCCTCCTCCCAGGCCCCCCAGCTCTCTTGGGGCCAGTGGGCTCCCCTCACCCCCAGACCAGACCCTGCCAGGTCCTGGCCTTTCCAAGCTTCCTGTGTCGACAGCTCTGCTCAAACCCGCAGACTCCCTCTGTCACCTCCAGGGCTGAGACCTACTCATTGCCCCAGGGATCGGCTTCCCCACCCTCTCCTGCTCCCGTAATCTGAGCATTTCCCTCTCCTGCCTGCGGCACTCGCCCCTGCCCTGACCCGCCCCACCCCTGCCCCAGCTCTGCCCCAGCTGTGCCCGGCTCCTGCAAACCCCCACCCCCCTCACCCCCGCCATCTATGTGCCTCTCTCTTCTCAGACCCATGGGGACTGACTGTGTCCCCTCCGTGGGGCAGGGGGCTGCATGTCTAGCTGGGCCCACACTCTGGAGGCCTGGCCTGGGGCCGGCACCCACCCCATACCAACCTCTGGTCTGCGGTTGGCGCTGCCCTCCTCCTCCTTCTTCTCCTCTGGGTAGCTCCGCACCTGGAGGGGCAGGCCCGCCTCCACGCTGTCCTCCTGGGAGGACGGCCTCCAGCCTCGACGCAGCTGCAGCTCAGGGCCCCCGAAGTTGTAGGCCCGGGCCCGGAAGGAGAGCTTCATGGAGCGGTCAGGGTCATCCTCCTCGTCCTCCCCCTCCAGCCGCTTCTTGGCCGTCAGCTCCTTGGCCAGCTGGTCCATCTTGCTCCATTCCTTGGCATCCTCCCACTTCTTGGAGAGCTGCTCCTCCTCCTGTTCCCGCTCCAGCTCCCGGTTCTTCCCGCCCTGGAAGGGGCCTCGAGGAGCCTCTGCCATCTCCTCCTCCTGCCGGGAGTGCTCCCGTTCCCCTTTCCCCTGGGGGCGCTGAGCCTCCTCAGCCCCAGACTTCCTGGCTCCATCGACGGCCAGAGCCTCGGACCAACCTGGAGCAGCTGGTGGACAAGAGCAGGAGATTGAAGGAGGGACCACCACTTCCCCTGGTCCCTGCCACTCCCTGGGGCCTCTCTGGCCATTGCTGCGACCGCAGACCGCACTCAGGGTCTGTGATTCCACTTGGAGGAAAAACCATCTTGGTAGAGCACTTTGCAAGACCCTCTCAAAGCTCTGAGGAGTGGGCTGGTGGGAGGCTGCCTCTTCTGTGTGCCCTCTCCCCCGGGAAGCCCCGATCCAGGGGCCGCCCAGCTGGGGAGGGAGGAAGGGCCCTGAGAAGGCCCTCATGAGTTGCCAGGAGCTCTCATAAACCCTGGGTGAAGCGGACACTGTCCCTAGACCAGCCTGTTTTTACCTGTCCTGCTGTCCCTCTGTTCCCGAAGCCCACCCACCCACCCAGCCTGCAAAGCCCCTCTGGTCTCCTGGCTCGGAGGGGAGGGGCTTTGTGGAACAGTGGGAGATGCAGGGTTTTGGAGTCAGACAAACCTGGGTTGGAATCTCAGCTTTTACTGCAAATTAGCGGTGTGACCTTGGGAAAATCATTTAACCTCTCTGAGCCTCGGTTTTCCATCTGGGAAATGGAGATACTACCTACCTTTCCGGGTTGTTGTGAAGGTGGAATGCAACTGTAGATGCGGTCCTTCTTCCCACCCTCCCCCTCTCCCTGACACACTTGTTTGGTCTCAGACATCATACATACTCTCGCCTCTCTGGATCTCCTTGTAGCCAAGGCTTGAGTGGGGGTTAAATGCCTCGGTGGGGCCTTCTTCTTCAGGGACAGCCTTCTCTCCAGCCTCTGCGCCCTCCTCCTCTTCCTCTTCTCGCTTGGTCTGCTGCCCTTGCTCTGCATCCACGCCCTTCTCTCTGTCCACCAGGCCCTGTGGGGGGCTCTCGCTGTCTTCCTCAGCCCGTGGGCCTGGGTGTTTCTGGCTGGGAAGTTTGTCTCGGGGGTTGGTGTTGGTGGCCTCCTGCTCCCCCAGGGCCTGACTGTCCTCCTCGAACTTGGACCCCTGGCTGGGGTCCGGGGAGGCCTGGGGCCTGGCTCCATCCGTGTCTCCACCATTCTCTGTCTTTTTAGGATCTCCTCTTTTCTCCGTAGCATCCTTGGAGGACGCTTCTCCCATTGCCTCTGCAGAAACAACAGTCAGGCTCTGAGGACCAGGCTGTACACGGGGGCTCCCGAGAGCCCGATTTCACAACTTGGTCCTTGTGTCTTTTGGTTTCCATCAAGTGCGGCCCAAGACACTCATGCCAGGATTAGCATTGCCCACTCCGTGTCTGGGTTTGATCTGAGCACAATTGGGAGATGTTTCTTTCTTTGGAATTCTACTTCTTAAAGTAGGAAGTGATTAAACAAAACAAAACAACCACCACCTTGAAAATGGCCCCAGAATTGAAAATTAGGACATCAGCTTAATTGCTATATGACCTTGGGCAAATATCGTAACCTCTCTGTGTACAAGGCACCATTACTGCAACTTCGTTCTCCCTTCCACACGAGGCTTGAGTGTCCTGTGGAAGCGCCCCATTCCTATTTGTACAGTTTCATTAAAAGGCATTTTCTGGTGGCTGCCTTTTCACCAGTAAAAATACCTCCCAGCTCTAGAACAATTACTGTTGGACCAAGCGCTACCAAGTACATTCCACCGTTTGTCCGGGACCCCCCAGTGATGGTGTTCCCATCCCTTCTACAGAAACTCTCCCCTCCGACTCTCAGACAAGTCACACGACTTCTCCATGCTCACACCCCATAAGCAGCAGGGCCTTGGATCCAAGTCTCCAAATGTCAAGTACAGGGTGCTCTTTGTGCCGACACACAGCTGCCTCCCCCATGAAAGCTTCCAGGTGGCCCGGATAGTAGATGTCCACTGAGATCCCTGGTCCTAGAACCTGGCCTATCCACCCTCCTCCCACGTGCTAACAGCAGGCCCCTCAGGGGCCATTGATGACTGTTTCCAGACAGGAGGATGAGTACTGGGACATCCCCTTGATCTAGCCCGTGCTCTCTTTGACCTTTAGAAGCTCTCTGGCTCTAAGAAAGATGACCCAGTTTCATTTAGTGTTTGAGACCCATTCTGGGGTCCTCCTACAACAGGACCCTCCCGAGGCATGACCAAGTCCCGGGTGGACAGGTGCTGCGTGGTGGTGGGGGCGCGGGGGAGTGGGTTCTGCTGCAATGGACTCTGGGAAAATCCAGCATCAAGCCTGCCCTCCTGCCAGGCCAGAGACTTCCTGCCCTGAGTGTGAGCCCCTATGGCAGGCAGGCGGGACTGACCTGGGACTCTGGAGTGAAATAGACCCAGATTCCCATCTCTAGTTACACTGCTTACCTTGGACAAGGTACTTAAAACTCTCTGGGCCTCAGTTTCCCCCATTTGGACAGGAAAGATCAAAATGATAGCTAGGTACTTCATAGTGCCTAAAGGAGGGGGTCCTTGACCTCTAGGAATCTTTGATCTTTTAACTACCGTTCTTATCTCCTACTCTCCTCTCTCTCCAGACTCTGGCTAGACCGGCCGGCTCTGACCTTTCAGCTCGGCCTGGTCATTCTGTTTCTCCAGAGCCTCTGGGAGTTCATCCTCGAAACTGTTGTGTTTCTTCTGATGTGCCCTCTCCTTGGCACCTGGTATGAGAAAAGGGGAAGGGGGAAGAGAAAAAGAAAAGGAGAAAACAAGTTCCACTTAGCCACGCCCAGCCTTGGCATTTTTGTGAGTGTGAAGGCTTCCATTTCCTTATCTGTAAACAGCAGGTCAGTTGCAAGCCTGCCTAACGGGACACTGAGGGGGCAAGAGCTCCAGGTTGGGGGGGGTGCTGGCTGCCCCTGCCCCCTCCCAGTTTCCCAGCTGGGACCCATCAGGCCACCACAGCACCTCTCCCCACTCACGTTTCTCCCCTGGGGAATGAGAACAAGCATTGTCTGCTACCTTGGACGGCCACAAAGACTCTGAGGGACCAGAGGGTCCCAGGGATGGGAACAGGGGTGGGGGTGGGGGGGGAGGGGTCCCTCTGCTCCTGGTAGTTAGGGGGACTCTGCAGCAGGAGACTGCAGTGACTGTTAGTTCCCTCATGGGCAATCTTGAACCAGGCAATCGGTGCTCCCCTGTACCCCGTAAATCCAGGTCCTTGGGAGAAGGCCAGGCTAGTGCCTGAGCTCCAGCCCCAGGCTGCCACCTGCTGATAATCCACACATCTCTCTCCCAGTGTTGGCCCCGGCTGCTGCTGCTACTTCCTCTGACTATCCCCATCTGTGCCCAGTTCCAGACGATGGGGTCTCTCAGCCAGGCCAACTCTGCAGACGCTGCTGCGATTTCCCCACACTGGGGAATGGGAGCAGATGCACCTGCCACAGTGGCTGCAGGCCAAGGAGTCTGCCCAGATTTGACCCCGAGCAGACCTCTGCCTCGTCACTCCTCGCTCTGTGATCTGGGGTAAGTGGAGCTCTCTGAGCGGCAGGTGCTCACCTACAGGACGGGGCTGCCACTTGGGAAGCCCTAAGACAGAGGTACTCGGAAGTCGCTTTGAGAGCGTAGAAGAGGGAGTGGACCGATGGCTGGGTAGGTGGATGGACAGGCAGACGCCTAGCTCCATCCTGTACTCTTTTAACAGAAAACAGTAATAGGGACACATCTTGAAAATGGCTCGTACTGGATACACACACATCTGTGTGTACATAGACATTTCAGGACACCTCCTCCGAGAACAGTCTCTGTTGACACTATCTTTAATTATTTAAATGTAATACGTTAGTCATTCAATATTTAATTTTGAAATTATCATATTGCAATAAAATATTTAACGTTTAGCTAAAAACAAATCCCACCAGGCTCAATGGAGATGAAGTGAGAAGCAAGGAAGAGACATGGCTCCAGCCAGCGGCGCCTGCTCCATGCCGGGCCCTCACCCAGACGCCTGGCTCCTATTCTCACAGGTGGCCTGGTGCATCGCAAGGGTCTCAGAGGGGGGCTTCCCAGAGCTGCAGCGGGCTTTCGTGCCTCCCACCTCACCGGAGACCAAAGCCCGGTCCTGAAGATGGACCCTTACTTCCTTTGGAAACTGATGCGAAATTCCCGACGGAGGGCCCATGCTGGGGTAGAGGCCCGGGGCCAGGGGCCTGCCCCTGATAAGCAGCCGCTCCCCACAGGGCATCAGCGTGGGGCAAAGGCAGGGCCAGAACCCATTTTTTTCCAGCTTGCCAGGGAGTCTGTGCCTCCCATGAACCCACGAAGGAATCTGTGGGTGGGCATCTGACATCAGTCTAACTCTCCAGGCTCTGCTTAAATACCCTCAGTGACAGGGGGCTCACTACCTCACAAAGTCACTCCGGTCCCAAGAGTGTCAGTGGATTTTCTTAATCTTTTAGAGAAAGACATACTTTACTCTAAAACATGCTGAAAATCTGGTCTGAGTTTGGGGGGCAAGCAAGACCTTGCTGTCCCCATCTACCCTTAGCAGAAGCTCGCAAGGGGAAAGGGGTCCCTCCTCCTCTCTCCTGGAAACCAATTTGCTCTTCAGTTAAAGGGGTCCTCTCTGCAACCTAGTCTTAAAAGTGTCCCCCACTGAAATGACTGATCCCCAGAGACGGCGGGGTATTAGATGAGCCGCATCTGGTCTTGGCATGTCCTTAACTTACCGTGTGACCTTGGACAAGTCACGCAACCTCTCTGGGCCTTAATCTCTTTAACTATATCCATGCCAGATTGGACCAGGTGGCAGGGATGAGCCCACCTTTCTGTAATTGCAGGGCGATAACCGAATCAGAGAGAACTAGGACCTAGCTCAAACTTCCACCCTGGTTTTCTCTCAATTACTGGAATTTATCCAGATTCCTAAGCAGGGACTGGAAAATACCTTGGAGAGCAAGGTCTTGGAGCTCTTTAAGCAAATTCTGATGTCGCAGGATTGAGAGGATCCGCTCATCTGCAATGAAGGAGAGTCGTTATGGGTGGTTTCCAGAGGAGAGCAGAGAAAGAGATTACCATCAACATTTTCAGCTGAGCACAAGGAATTTATTTTGGAGCCTCCAACCTGGGTGGTGGCCGCAAGATCGGGTCTTGAGATAGCACTGGAGGTGGCCTCCTTCCCAAGCAGCCAGCGCATCCTTCAGCCTCAGGAAGGTCAGCTGCTGGCCCGGCCCGCAGACATCACCCGGGAGACGCCAGCCCCAAAGGGGAGGTAGGGGTGTCCCGCCCCATGTGTTTCCATCTCCGTGTCTGCTCAAGGGTCTACTCCACCTGGACTACCCTTTCTTGGTTTTTCTACTGATTTCTAACTTTCTCTGAAAGTCCAACCCCAGCCCTCCAACAGCTGGGTAAAACTTGACTGCTCGGCTGGAAACACTTTGTCCTTGCCCTGCCCACCTACAACAGTCCTTTACTCATCACAAACCTACAGATTGTCTGCCGGGTGCCAGTGGCTGTTCAGGGCTCTGGGGACATAGGAACACAACATCTCTGTCCACAGGGTGGACAAGGTGACTTGCTGTTCTGGCCCTGGTTTCATTCTGCCCGGAATTCTAGTTAATTGTGCTCCTCTCTGTTCTGTCTGCTCATCTGTAAGCTCTGGGAGCTCTGGGAGAGGATAACAGGGCTGTTATCCTCTCATCTCTCTAGACCTCTCCCTCACTAGCACAGGCCAGGCCAGGCACTTGATCAGTGACTGTTGAATTAAATCACTGGGTTCTGCCCAAAGTCACGCACCCATATCCTCACTCCCCAGCCACATGGGCCCAACCCCTCCCACCCCCAGCCTTTGCCCGTACCTCCTCGGAGTGTCTCGAAACACTCCTGGCTGACAGGCATGGGGCTGGGCTTGGACAGCGTGTCAGAGATGACCTCAACGATGCACTTCATCACCTAGGAAGAGAGTGGGGGCGGGCTGGGGCTGGTTTGTGTATGGGGCTCACCCCCCCCCACCCCGAGGCTCAATGTGCCCTGAGGGCAGATTTCTAAATAAGAATATAGGGACATTTCCTTTTGTCTTCAGGAGTCCATGGATGCCTGTGCCCAAGATAATCTGTGTTTTTAGCCAGACAATAATAGCAATAATAGAAACCCTTTATATGGTGCTTACCATATGCCAGGCACCCTGATCATCTGGTCAGCAGCTGCCCCTCTCCTGTGGGACATGGTGGGTGTGGGTACCCAGTACCCACTAGCAAATGTTTCTCTAGATGGGGAAGCTGCTGCTGGGCATTGAGGTATGTCTTGCAGAAGTACTTTAGTCTTGCAGATGGCGACAAAGTCAGCTCTCTCCAGGGAGTATTTCTGGATTGCCCAGAGACCAAAGACCTTCCCTGGCTCTACCCTGCCTGGAAACAGGACTGGGATCCCTGTCTCCTAAAACCCATGATGTTGTTACGTGCAGCGAGTGACAGCCTCACGGTCTGGCTCTGTGTTCCCCCATGGGATGGATCCTGTGGCTGGACGAGGGCACACAGCAGCTATATCTGGGTGCCCGTCCCAGCAGCCAGATCTCTGAAAGTTCTGTGCAGTGGCCAGCAGGTGCTGTGGCTGGCTAACCAAGCACTTGATAAATGCTTATTTGAAGGTAGGGCCAACTGCAGTGCGGTATCCTAGCTGAGTGATCTTGGACACAGGACTTGACCTCTCCGAGCCTCGATTTTCTCATTTGTATGATGAGACTTTCCGAGCTCCCCTCCCAGGGTGATCAGAAACAGAAGGGAAACACTCTACAAGGCGTGATGAGCCACACACACCAAGGGAAGGATTTGGAACGTTGAACCTGCTTCAGCTGCTGAGAGCCGGGCAGGAAAGCAGGAAGTGTCAGACATGCATCAGGCGGTGCTGGTGGGGAGTGAGGGGGTGGCAGGCTGGGTCTATGGGATGCCAAAGCAACCCATCCAAAAATTCAGGATGGCAAACCCTCAAACAGTCTCTCGAGTAGTCACAGCATCGTAGGATGGAATAGTTAGGTCTTCACCAGTGGATACAGTGCTCCTGACCCCAGGCCGCTGGGTAGCGTATGGGGACCAAAGTGTCTCCCGTAGAGGATCTGGTAGGAAGGACCTTGCAGCCTGTACCCTGCATCGCCCGCAACCGGGGACCTTACACTGGGAATGTCAGATAACCACGAGGCCACGAGGACAGACTTAGGGAGAGAGGAATTGGGTATGGTTCCCAAGAATAATAAGGAGCTCTGAAGGGAAACTCCAGGTGCCCATTAACCGAGGGCCTGCTTTTTTGCCAGGTGCCTCCCATCTATGATTCCATCGCTCACAACTTCCCTCAAGGGAAATACTATAGATGGGAAAAGTGGAATCCTCTTCAGAGAAGTTAAGGAATTTTACCAAGACCACACAGTATAAGAGTGTAAGAGGCATATACAGGCCTGTCTGCAAGTAAAACACGGGAAATATAATTGAGCAAACAGAGGTTGGAATTGCTTTGATGTTCTGGGTTGAACCATAGCCTCTCCAGAATGGAAGAAAACACTTCCTGAGAAGTGAAGGGTAGAAATTTCTCTGGGTCACAGGTGGGGTGTCTGTGAGCACCAGAGACTGCAAAAACAGCCCCAGCCCAGACATGAATGAATTTCAATTGTGCCCCCCAACAGAGAGTGTCTTGCAGGCTACAGAGCCCCCCAGCTAGTATCTCCTAAGGCCCTTTCCTGGGTGACATCCCCCGGCAGCCCCAAACGGCCAGGACCCTGGGTGCAGAAGCCATGATCAAGAGTGTTTCCACTGGGGCCCTTGGGGAGATCCAGGGCTGGAGTGCCTATACGGTGGGGGTGGGGGTTGCTAGCAGAGTCTTGGGAAGAGGGGAAGATCAAAGAGGGAGGCCAGAACCAGAGAAGTGAAGACTGTCCCTGCAGGTCTGGGGACAGCCACAACCCAGAACCACAGGAAGTGCCCCCCAGCAGCTTAGGCTGGGCATTGCCAGATTTGGAGGGTTCAAAGCTATAGGCCTGGCACCTTGGCCCTCTAGCTAAGGCACAGGCCCCATCGGCAGTGTACCCAGCTCAGAGGAAGCTGGGGAAGTCCCCACAGCAGGACGGCAGGGAAATCTAGCAGTCTTTGATATCTTCTTTTGCAAGCTGTCCCCAGGCTTAGCAGCCGCAGTGCTGACTCTTGAATTTATGCCAAACTCATTCCTGCAGCTAGCTGCCCAAAACCTGACTGTGAGGTGTCCACTGGAGCCTCCTACCCACCATCACGGGGCATCCCCATACCCCTTCTTACCTCAGTGTCCCCTTTATTCATAGGGCTGTTCACAGGAAAGGCAATGACTGGGGGAAAAAAGAGAGAGAGCTGGGGTGACCCTTCTGCTCTGAGGGGAGAGCCCAGTCCTTCCTAATTGGGTTTATAGGGGGCCCATTCACTCCAGTGCTCCCCCTCAAAACTGCCCCTACCCAATGAGATGCTAGGGTTGATTTTGTTTCCCTTCCCTGGCTGCTGTCCCCATGGGGATGGTCCCCAGAGGCTGCACTGAGCTCCCTAACGCTTCCCTTTGGGAAAGCACCCGCTCTGGGGCCCGGGGTGGGGGGGTGGGGGGGTGGGGATGGGAGGAGCTGAAGGCTAGTGCTATGAAAACAAGGCCAGCAACTGAGTGGGATTGGGGTGGAGAAGGAAGTGGAGAGAGGAGGAGAGACCCCAGAGGTGGGAAAGAGACGAGGAGAGGGAGGATTGTGAGAGATGATAGGGAGATAGAAGCCAAGGGCAGAAAAAGGGGGAGAGCAGGAGCAGGGAAGAGAAAGAGGCCAGAGTGGGAGCCGGCCACAGCTCTCCCATCTCCCCTAATGACCTTGGCCAGCCATGGCACGGAGCCAGAACTGGCCCAGATGCAGTCGAGACGTCGAGCCCAGACAGGGGGTTGGGGCGCCAGGGGGTCCTGTCCTGTGGGGTCAGGAGTCAGGCCCAGAGAGTCCTGTCTCCGGGTTTGGCGCCGAGGCTACTACGCCGGGTGAGCAGGGAGGCGGGGGCGCTGTCCGCGGTGCTGACAACTCGCCGCGCCGGAGGGGAGGGACGAGGGGCGCGCATTGCGCTCTGTGCCTGGACCTCAGGGCAGGCAGGGGCGCCGAGGACCCTCTCCCACGAGACCCCGCGCTCGCTCACCTTGCCCGGCGCAGAACAGAAGCGCCAGGACAGCAGCGGAGCGCATGGCGAAGCCGAGGCGCCGAGCAGCTGGCGGTCTGGGGCTGGGCACGATAGGCACCCTGGCGAGGGCTGGCTGGACGGGCTACCTGGGAGCGGGTTGTGGCGGCGCTGGCGCGGATTGGGGGCGGAGGGCTCAGCTTCCCAGTCTGCGTCTGTCTGTCGGTCCACCCACCAGCCTCTCTCCACTGGGCTCTGGTGCTGCAGGAATTTATATACCTCCGACCCCGGAAATGACGTCATCGGGACCGCCCCTAACCCCTTTTCCCACCCTTCTGGGGGTCGGGCCGCAGCTCGCTCCGCCCTCAGCCTCAGGCCTCTCGCTTCTGGTGTCCGCCGCTCACCTGCCTTGGGTCTGGCTGCGAGGCGGTTATCTGGCTTCCAGGAGGTGACAAGGGGCCTCGGCTAACCCTCCACTCTTAGAAGTTTCCCCGAGTTGCTGTGTCCGTGGGCAGATACTCCCAGTCTCTGGGCCGCATGTTCCTCCAATGTCCCTACAAGCTCTAGAGCACTTACCATGCTCCTGAGTTCCCTCTGTGGGGACGCCCCTGCCCTGATAGAGTCTGGAGGCTGGCTCACCACTCAGGGCTCCCTCTGATATCTCAGGAGTCCTAGAGAGAGGCGTCTCTCTCTCTGACAACCCAGTTTTGTGCCTTCACAATTTGTCATAGTGTATATATGTATTAATTTGAAAATGTTTGGTCACCATTGCTTCCACAGCGCTGAGTGGGGCAGCTGGCACAGAGTTAATGCATTTAATAGATAATTGTTGAACCTACCGATGGAAAGAAAGGTCCAGCCAGGGATGAATGAATGAATCCTGCCTGGGCTCTGGCTGTTGTTGGACAGCTCTCATGCGGGGTGGCGGGGCAGGAACAGGGGACAGCTCTTGGTATCAAACCAAAATAAGAGTTGTAACGTGGACTCATTAGCCGTAGGATGACGTTCTTGCTGCTGGTAACCGACTGTGTCTCACGTCTTTTTGAGTGTTCTCAACATCTGAGTGTTTCGTGTGTTAGGTTGGTTTGTGTCCTTCTGCCCTGGGGCCACATTGCTACTCCCAACCTAGATGACACACTGGAAGCCCTTTGCCGCCTGAGCCCAGTGTCCTAGTGAACTTGGTAGCTGGGCTAGGGTTTCGCACCAGTTGGCATTGTCCAGACTGTCCTTCTTGCGAGGCTCTCCCTGCATCTGCTGCTGTTATTCCCTACTTCCTGCCCCAGCCTGTGCCCACTCCTGCCCCTAAAGGAAGACCTGGCAGGAGCCCAAAGGACACTGAAATGATCCTTTTCATGAATTTATTCTTTCATTCAACCACTATTTGTTTAGCACCTACTGTGTGCTTTGAACACCCTAGAATGGCACTCAGCTCTTCTAGGTGCTGAGGATACAGCAGTGAACAAAGAGACAAAGGTCTGATTCTTATGACGTTTACATTCTAAAGGGCAAAGACAGGCAATGAATAAGTAAAGAGGTGAAATACACAGCTGTCAGGTGGGGACAAGTGCTATGGACAAAAATGAAGCAGGGAAGGGGGATGGGTGTGTTGAGGGGGAGGGGGCTATGTTTTAAATGGGGGTGGGTCTGAGAGGTCTTGACCAAGGAGGTTTGTTTCAGCGAAGATCTGAAGGTGAGGAGGAAGGAGGTTGCATGTGTCCAGGGACAGGGGGCTCCAGGTAGAGGGAATGGCAAGTGCAAATGTCTAGTGGAAGGAATGTGTCTGACATTCCAGGAATAACAAGGAGATAAAGTGAAAGTGACCTGGAAAATACAGCTGAATAGTAACACACAATCCATCTCAAAAACTTGGAAAATGCACAGAAATGCAGGAAAACACCATACTGACACCACCCAGAGATAAGCATCAATAATTTTTAAGTATATACAATATTCTATAGTCTTTACTGAGGCAGCTCCCTTCGTAAAACAGAGTTTCCAGTGAAAGACGTCAGCTGAGCCCTGACAGATTACATGCACCAGGCCCTTCTGATGTGGGGTCCCCCTGACGGGCTGCAGATTCCTCTCCGGAGTCCTATCCTATAGACTTATCTGTGTCCTGAGCATAGCAGCCCATCAAAATTTATTGTGTGCCACAGTTGTTTTGACTAATGTACAGATAGATTTCCTGGTTTGTTTGGTTTTTTGTTTCTGTTTTATCATGAGATTGAAACAAGTCAAGCTCCACTTTTAACTCTAATTCTCTTGCTTTTTCTGCCCCATCTGCAGTTTCTTCCTCTCATGAGGTCTTGAACCCCTCAAAATCATCCATGAGGGTTGGAATCCACTTCTTCCAAACTCTTGAGAATGTTGATATTTTGACCTTTCCTGGTGAATCATGAATGTTATTTTTTTAAAAGATTTTATCTATTTATTTATTTATTTATTTGACAGAGAGAGGTTGAGACAGAGCACAAGCTGGGGAGTGGCAGACAGAGGAAGAGGGAGAAGCAGCCTCCCCGCTGAGCAGGGAGTTTAACTTAAGTTTAACTTACGAGTCACCCAACCACCCTGATCACGAATGTTCTTAATGGCATCTCAAATGGTAAATCCTTTCTGGAAGGTTTTCAAGTTACTTTGCCCAGATTCATCAGAGGAACCCCGATCTATGGCAACTCTAGCATTTCTGTCATGTATTTCTTAAATAATAAGACTTGAAAATCAAAATTACTCCTTGATCCATGGGCTACAGAATGGATGTTATGTTAACAGACATGAAAACAACATTCATCTCATTGCACACCTCCATCAGACCTGTGGGTGACCAGATGCATTGTCAATGAGCAGTAATATTTTGAAAAAAACAAAACAAAACAAAACAAAACTTTTTTTTTCCTCCTTGAGCAGTACGTCTCAACAATAGGCTCAAAATATTCAGTAACACCTTGTTGTAAAGAGATATGCTGTCTCCTAGGCTTTGCTGTTCCATTTATAAAGCATAGACAGAACAGACTTAGCATGATTTTTAAGGACCCTATGATTTTTGGAATGGCAAGTACGCATTGGCTTCAACTTAAAGTCATCTGTTGCATTAGCCCTTAACAAGAGTCAGCCTGTCTTTTGAAGCTTTGAAGCCAGCCATTGACTTCTCTTATCTAGCTATGAAAGCCCCAGATGGCATCTTCTTCCAATAAAGGCTGTTTCATCTACACTGAAAATCTGTCATTTAGTGTAGCCGCTGTCATTAATTATTACAGCTTGATCTTCTGAAGAACTTGCTGCAGCTTCTAAATTAGCACTTGGCTGCCTCACCTTGTACTTTCATGTTTTAGGGATGGCTTCATCCCTTCAACCTCATGAACCAACCTCTGCTAGCTTCAGACTTTTCTTCTGTAGCTTCCTTACGTCTCTGAGACTTCCTAGAATCGAAGGAAGTTAGAGCTTTGCCCTGGATTAGGCTTTGGCTTAGGGGAATGTTGTGGCTGTTTTGATCTTCTGTCTAGGCCACTAAAACTTTATCCATATCAGCAATAGACTGATCTTGCTGTCTCATCATTCATGTGTTTACCAAGTAGCATGTTTAATTTCCTCCAACAACTTTTCCTTTGCATTCCTAACTTGGCTGTTTGGCATAAGAGACCTAGCTTTTGTCTATCTCAGCTTTTGACATGACTTACTCAATGAGCTTAATCATTTCTCCCTTTTGATTTAAAGTGATTGACGTGTGACTCTTCCTTTCACTTGAACACTTAGAGGCCATTGTAGGGTTAGTAACTGACTATTGGTTAGCAATTAATTTCAATATTGTTGTGCATTTTGAAGAATAGGGAGGCCTGAGGGGAGAGAGAGAGATGGTGGAATGGTTGGCCAGTGGAGCCATCAGAACACACACAGCATTTATGTATCCAGTTGACTCTTATGTGGGTGTGGTTTGTGGTGCCCCAAAACAATTATTCTGGTAACACCAAAGGTCACCGATCACAGATAACAAATATAATAGTAATAGGAAAGCTGGAACTATTGCGAGAATTACCAAAATGTGGCACTGAGACATGAAGTGAGCAAATGTCAAAAAATTGTGCCAGTAGACTTGTTTGACACTGTAGGTTTGCCACAAAACTTCAGTTTGTAAAAAAATACAGTATCTGCAGAAGCACAATAATGCAGAGCACAATAAAACAAGATTGTCTGTATAGTGTCTTGGTTTTGTATGTCGGATGAAGCATTGTGCTGTGGGTGGGGGGAGCTGTAGCTCAGAGAGGAGGAAGTGAGGGGCAGAATAGAGTCAAGAAGTCTTTGCTTTTTGAAGACACTGTGGATTAGATTGCTCAACCTCCCTCCCAACCCTCTTTCTGGTGGGCAGAAGTAGGAAAGTGAAAAACTATATTTCCCAGACTGCCTTGCAGCTAAGGACCTGGAAATGATTTCGTTTCCACCAATCAGAGGAACTGGAGTTGGAGTCAAGTGTAGAGAGAGAGAAGGTGCAGAGCAATCATGTTGCCAGTGTGGACATGGCAGAGGTGGGTGGCTCTGGTGACAGCGTCCCTACTTGGCAGGCAGGTCAGTCCCTGATCCCAGCAGGGGCTGCAGTACCAGTGGCAGCTCAGTTCTGAGGTGTGACTTTACAAGCTGCTTCTGGAAACAGCTGACAAAAGTTGATACAGTATGGTCAACTTCTCCAGTCCTCCCAATGACTGTGTAAGCCATTTTAGCATTCTGTTCACTCAGCTGAACCCCAGCTGGAATATGGAAATGTCCTGTGAGGGCATTGAGCAGTTCTGACAACAAACAGCAACATCAGAGTGAGCGTGGTCAGGTGACCAGGGTGGGTGTTTTTTCAGACCCTCTTCTCTATGTCAAGGGAGAGGGACTGGTCAATGCCAGGCACATATTTATTTCCAAATCCCAGACAGCACTGTTCAAATTCATTCAAACTGGGATGCTTGGGTTTCGTCCGACTCTTGATTTCGGCTCAGGTCATGCTCTAGGGGTCATAAGATCCAGCCCAGGTCAGGCTCCACACTCAGCATGGAGTCTGCTTGGGATTCTCTCTCCCTATGCCCCTCCCCCACTTGCACCCCCCCATATATAAATTAATTAGTTAAATCTTTAAAAAAAAAAAAACAAAAAAAAGCCCTATAAATTCATTCAAACACAGACTTTATAAAGGATACCAGCCTTCAGGTTTTCATCATGGGGGTAAAAATCTCCTGGTTCATGGGGAGTTGTCTGAATAACTGCTTAAACTCCCTGAATGACA